ATTATTATTATTAAATGTTCATAAAAATTATGGAGAAAAAAGTAAGTAGAATTGTTAAATAGAATTAAATTAAATTTTGTAACCGTAAATAATATTGTATTTTTCCAGAAAATGATAATTATACCTGGAAAATTGCAGGAGTAGCGGTATTTTGTATTTAATTCTTATTTATATAATTAAATTTAAATTAATTAATTTCGTGATCTTAATTAAACTCTCAGTTTCCTGGAGTAATTCAATTTGACGAATCCAAAACGAAAATTATTGGAGGTTATAAATATGAAATATTCCAAACAATACAGGAAAAATTACAGTTTAGGTGAGAATTATTATAATATCCTATTTATATTTTAAATAATATATTTTCATTTGTATATAGTAGTATATATAATCTTTCCACCGAATGAGCACAAAGGTCCATGCTTTTTTCCACGCTTACAATAGGGACGATCCGGAGGTCCAGAACAGACCATCGAATTAAATGCCGAATCTTTCAAGATGGGGTAGACTGGCCCTTTAAACTCCTCGGCTATCTAGCCAGCAAAATATATACTAATTCAAGAAATTCTTACGCACTAACGTTCAAATAAAACGTTATTAATACAATGTACAGGCAGTGGTAATAAGTGATTGCGATAAGTAATGGTAATAAGCGTAGAGACAATTTTAAACAACGGTATAATTTAAAGGAACGTTATAGGACTTCCTCTTGCCTTGCTCTTGCCTTGCTGTTGTCTTGCTCTTGCCTTGCTCTTGGATACATGTGGGGACATGGTCGAGCATGGAGGCATACAAACACCTTATGCTATCTTGCAACAGATTTGCCAATAGATGTTTCAAATTCCTCTCCAGAACCCTTACACTCATAGACGGCCAAAATATTATTCCATCTGATTTCAAAAATACTCGATGGGCGACAAATGTGAAAATTGGATAGCGAAGGAAGTATACGGTAACGTGATGAAGACCTTGGTCGGACGCACACAGCTATTTTTTAAAATCCCTGTTAAAAATAGCTATTACAGCCTTGTGGTGTAAAAAATATATATAATTCTTTAGACTCAACAATTATTTCTAAATTTATACAAAGATATAAAAGAGCACGAACGAAATAAAGAATTATTTCCTGACAATAAAAGATTTAATCGATAGCATATAAATAGCATATAAAATAACATTACATTATTGGTATGCTTTTGTCCACTTTAGACGTTATTTGAGAACTAGGAATTGTTATACCGAGGGACAATTTCATGTATTATTGCTAATATTGAATAAGTTGCGTGTTATATACTTATAAATTGATTTATAACTGAATATATTAGAACTTTGAATACGTTTTCTCTAGATTGTCACACTGATTTTGACACCTGGCCAAACTGAAATCTTTTCATTTCACTCTCAATACGAAATCGCTCTAGCAACGATCACAATAGATTTGTTTCCAACACTCGAGATTCTATTTAATGTTACAGCAATGGCTTCTAAGGAAATTTTTCTTAAACATTATATATATATATTAACATTATTATTATTAAATGTTCATAAAAATTATGGAGAAAAAAGTAAGTAGAATTGTTAAATAGAATTAAATTAAATTTTGTAACCGTAAATAATATTGTATTTTTCCAGAAAATGATAATTATACCTGGAAAATTGCAGGAGTAGCGGTATTTTGTATTTAATTCTTATTTATATAATTAAATTTAAATTAATTAATTTCGTGATCTTAATTAAACTCTCAGTTTCCTGGAGTAATTCAATTTGACGAATCCAAAACGAAAATTATCGGAGGTTATAAATATGAAATATTCCAAACAATACAGGAAAAATTACAGTTTAGGTGAGAATTATTATAATATCCTATTTATATTTTAAATAATATATTTTCATTTGTATATAGTAGTATATATAATCTTTCCACCGAATGAGCACAAAGGTCCATGCTTTTTTCCACGCTTACAATAGGGACGATCCGGAGGTCCAGAACAGACCATCGAATTAAATGCCGAATCTTTCAAGATGGGGTAGACTGGCCCTTTAAACTCCTCGGCTATCTAGCCAGCAAAATATATACTAATTCAAGAAATTCTTACGCACTAACGTTCAAATAAAACGTTATTAATACAATGTACAGGCAGTGGTAATAAGTGATTGCGATAAGTAATGGTAATAAGCGTAGAGACAATTTTAAACAACGGTATAATTTAAAGGAACGTTATAGGACTTCCTCTTGCCTTGCTCTTGCCTTGCTGTTGTCTTGCTCTTGCCTTGCTCTTGGATACATGTGGGGACATGGTCGAGCATGGAGGCATACAAACGCCTTATGCTATCTTGCAACAGATTTGCCAATAGATGTTTCAAATTCCTCTCCAGAACCCTTACACTCATAGACGGCCAAAATATTATTCCATCTGATTTCAAAAATACTCGATGGGCGACAAATGTGAAAATTGGATAGCGAAGGAAGTATACGGTAACGTGATGAAGACCTTGGTCGGACGCACACAGCTATTTTTTAAAATCCCTGTTAAAAATAGCTATTACAGCCTTGTGGTGTAAAAAATATATATAAGGAGCAGGATTTTCCGAACGTATCGCTGTTCCAACAATATTCCTGGTACCATTAATAGTGCTGACCAAATATCACACGTAATAGTTCCCTAGACATGCGTCAGCAATGGAGACAGTCTGCTGTTCAATAGTAAAGATAGAATTGAAGTGCTCAAGGATCTTCAACACATTAACACGGTGTTCGTATGATCCCAAACATAACTAGAATTCATCGCTACAGATAATACGCGTTAGTCTGTAGCAGTAGTCTATGCTCAGTCACGAACCACTGTAAACCAAGCCAACGATGTAACTTGCTAAGCTAATGGCAAGACGCTTAGCCATTTGCATGTACAGCAATTGCTAAAATTGCTGTACATGCAAATTTATCTATGGTAATTGCTTGCCAATGGTGCAGAAAAAAATCCTGTAGCGGATGTCTCTGCAATGTGGACCAACACGTCTTTGAGCCGTTGCAGGAGTTTTTGTCCGAGTTTTTAGCTCAAACAAATGCCGGTTTACCGAATACTAGCATACCAAATTACTATTGGACAATTCCGGATTACCGGATGTCGAATTAATAAACTTTTACTGTATTTAAGAGAGAACATTTTTAATCTTATATTTACTGTAAACAGATATCAGGTAGTTATGCCGTTGGCAACATCTTATGGAACCAAAACTAAAAATGGAACTTTAACTGGAATCGTTGGACAACTGCAAACAAAAGTATTTTATTATGTTTTCTAAATGGTTTTCCTTTTTAATAATAAATAAATTGCTTTAACTTCATACTAAATGCAATTTTTACAGGAAGCCGATATGTCATTCCTTCCACTCTACGTAACGGATGAATATATCGATGACCTTGTTTATTCCTCACAAGTTACACGTTTTTATATAAAATTCATTACTAAAATGCCTAAAAAGAGATCTAATTGGAGTTCCTTACTTCAGCCTTTTTCAATCCAAGTAACGTTAAATAATTCGTGAAAAAAAAAGAAGGTATATGTTGTATGTAACTATTAACATGAATAATTTCTTTCAGATTTGGTTAATGATATTTGTGACTTCATTAATATTTGGTTTTGTGGTACATAAAATCATAAATTTAGAACATGTTGAATTATTCTCATTGTTACGAAGAAATTTTTTCTGGTATCTCTTTGGAACTTTTGTTTATCAAGGTTAGTTGTTTATCTTAGTATTTTAGTAACAAATAAAATGAAATATTTAATGTTATTCTTGATTTTTAGGCGGAGATATAAGTTATGTTCGAAGACTTCGATCAAGATTTTTAATTGCAATTTGGTTAATCTCGATTATAGTTCTGGTTTGTAGTTACACTGCAACATTAACATCGAATATGAGCTCTCCTGTTATCGAATCCTTACCGACTACTACCGAAGAATTAGCAATTGCTATTCAAAACGGAGAATATTCTTGTGGAACTGTATATAAGAGTCTTATAAATAAAGATTTAATGGTAAATTTTAATTATATTTACTATTAGTTTAATAAATTTTGTTATTATAAAATCAGATATTATTATTGATAAATATTTTCGAAGTATTCTACTAATTGTAAACAACTTCCACACAGTTATCTCCTGTATCAAGCATTAGAATAATAGGAGAACACATCCAAAAGAATAAACATTTTTTTGATGAAGATATATCATGGAAGAAAACAACAACCAGTCATTTCGCTTTGATTTCCACTTCGAAAGCAATCAAGAAATTGTATGGCATTCACGGAACTAATAAATTTCGTGTTTCTAAGGATTCATTATTAAAATATGATTTAGCTTATGCTTTCAGAAAAGATTTCCCGCATAGGAAACAATTCAGTAAAATGTAAGTTATAGTCTATTTTAAATGTTCTAAAATTTAATTTTTAACTTATCTTATCTTTAATCCATAGAATAACTAGATTATTTGATGCCGGTATCATCGATAAACCTAATTCTAACAATCAAGAAGATTACAGAAAAGAAAAGTCTGATGTAGAACCATTAATGCTGAATGACGTCGCTAGTCCATTTGCACTTTTATTTATAGGATATTTTCTCTCATTTTGTTGTTTTATTGTCGAAATTTTTGTTGGAAAAATCAAACCGACTAATAACGTGGGTAAAGAAAATGTTTGAATTAATGGATATAATACACACATGTCCGAAACTTAAGGACAAACACAATTGATACGAGAGAGGAGTGGACCAATCTGCCTCAAGAACACCCGAATCACTTGGTGACGAGCCTGCCACAATGCTGTTAGTGCTACATCCGGCATTGTGTTAGGTTATGTACAGCAGTTGGGCATAGTTTACACGAATGTCCAACTGCTGTACATAACTTTTATTGCTTTGATCTGTAAAATCCTACAAGTTGCTGTGAATTAACATGTCGTTAATCCGGAATCAGCGGAGAGACACTCAGACGAAACACATTGTACTGGTTAAGGTATCTTCGTTTATTCAAGTAATTAATGTACAAATAAGTCTTTACATAACAGTAGGACGAACGTCCGTACGTGTCGACAGATAGAAGTCCGAACAAAGGAACAAGTGAAGACAAAGGGTCATAAAACGTTTCATTTGGTTATTGGGAAGGTCCCTGTTATGGATCAAATTGGTTTGCGTCGAGAGTACCGACACCTCCCCTCAATTTGATATGACGGTGGACCTTCTATGGGTCCGATATCCATGTTGGTGATGCACGACCGGTGCTTGTTCGAAAACAATGGTTTTGTTAGAGCGTCGGCAGGCATCTCGCTGGTCTGTAGATATTTGATGTCTGCGTCTCTGCGTTCGAGAGCCTCTCGGATGAGGTGATGTCGTATCCCGATATGTTTTTGTGCGAGAGTGAAAGTTCGGGTTTCTGGCAAGTTTCTGGACGCTCTGATTGTCGTTGTATATCGTTATGGGATGATCTGATCTTGAGTGAACGTTGCAGAGAAGGTTTTTAAGGTGGATTGCTTCCTTTGCTGCTTCGGTTAGTCCGATGTATTCGGCTTCAGTTGAGCTGAGTGCGACGGTACGTTGTTTTCGTGATTCCCAACTCACTACTGCGCCTGCGGGCATGAATATATAGCCTGTGTAGCTGCGTCGATCATTCGGACATGCTCCCCAATCGGCATCTACATAACCTTCGAGTGGTTTACCTGTTATTTTTTTAATGTGATTCCGTAGTCGGCAGTGCATTTGAGGTAGCGAAGCACTCGTTTTGCTGCTTGCCAGTGGGTATTGTTGTAGCAACTGTTGAATTGGCTCAACATACTGACAGTGTAGGCAATGTCAGGGCGAGTACGACGGCGAGATACATAAGTGTGCCGATAAGGTTTTGGTATGGAATCTTTTCTCTATTCTGCACTTTCAGAAAGGCTTTCTTCTTCGCTAGGTTTTAGCAGTTTGGAATTTCCGTCGAGCGGAGTAGCGATGGGTTTGCATTCTTCCATGCCGAAACGTTTGTTTTTCTTTCTTCCCCTCCTTTTCGGTCTGGGAGAATTCGATACCCAGAGCCCAGTGAATTGGTCCCATGTCGCGCAATCTAAAAATTGTGCCGAGTTCAGATTTTATCTTATTGAGCTTTGCTTTGTCGTTGCACGCTATTATCAAGTCGTCCACATAAATGGCTGCTATGGTGATGTACCCATCATTTTTTGTCATATAGAGGCAAGAGTCGACGGCGATGGGTTGAAATCCCAGTTTATGTAACTGTGAATCCAGTGTTTTATGCCACTGACGATCTGCTTGCTTTAGGCCGTAGATGGCTCTATTTAATTTACATGCCTTAGGTTTTCCATCTTTAAGTTGCTGTGACCATTCAATAGCTCGTTGTCGTACTGCTTTGGGTTCGGATTGGTCGTTTATAATGTTCTCGAGTATTTCATTTAGTTGGCTTGGTATTTTCATGAGGATGTTTTCTTGGATATCACCGTTTAGGAATGCTGTTGTAACGTCGAGTTGGTGGACTTCGAGATCGAGCTCGGCTGCCAGTGCCATGACTGTTCGAATGGAACTGAGTCGGGCTACAGGAGCGAATGTTTCTTCGTAGTCTATACCGCCTTTTTGAGTGTAGCCTTTGGCGACTAATCGTGCTTTGCGTCGCTCCAGCCTTCCGTCGGGATTGAACTTGTTTCGTAAGACCAGTCTGCAGCCGATCGGTTTCCTATTGAGTGGTACGTCAACGATATCCCAAGAATTATTTTCTAGTAATGAGCTGATTTCCCTTTTGATGGCAGCTTTCCATTCGTAGGCTTCGGAGCTGTATATGTTTTGAGGGTCTACCGCGATTTCTAGTTTTTAGTTTGAGCGGTCGTCCTGGTCCTCTTCTCATGGATGGTTGATCTTCCTGTGTTTCAGGGACTTCTGCCATCTGCGTGTGGATGTTGGCAGGTTGATGTGGGGCGTCAGTTTTTGTGTTGTTGACTTGCGTTTGCCGGGTAGTTACCTCTATTGAGTCAAGTCGATTCGTAGTGGTGAGAGAGTTGTTTTCTACAGCAGTCGAGTGGTTGATGAAGTCTTCAAAAATATCGGTGTTTGAAATTTTTTCAATGAACTTGACATCTCGAGAGGTTGTTACGCTCTTTTTATTATCGAGGATAACACGATATGCTTTTGAGGTTTCGGAGTAACCTACAAATGTGCAAGATTGAGCACGTGGATCGAATTTACCCTTACTGGGATTCTTCTTTAGAATGAAGGCTTTTGTTCCGAAGATATGAAAATGGCTGACATCAGGAATTTTTCTTTTGAATAGTTCGTATGGAGTCTTGCCATCTATGCTTTCTGACGGGGATCGGTTTCGAATATGATTGGCTGTAAATATGGCTTCAGCCCAATAGGTGGTAGGAGTGTGTGCATGGATTATCATGCATTGTGCCATCTCTACTAAAGTTCGATTTTTGCGCTCGGCGACTCCATTTTGTTGTGGGGTCCTCGCAGTTGATGTTCGATGTGTGATTCCCTGTCGTCTGAGGAAGGTACTCATTTCCTTGCTACAGTATTCGCCTCCATTGTCGCTCTGGTTGGCTTTGATTTTTAGTCCAGTCTGATTCTCTAGGTAGGCTTTGACGTCTTTTAGCGTCTCAAATAGTTCGTCCTTGGTCTTTAGAAAACATACCTCAGTCCATCGAGTATAATCATCAATAAATGTAACAAAATAAAGTGATCCTCCAAGAGATCTCTTCAGCATAGGTCCGAATATATCCGTGTGAATGATTTCGAGTGGTCGGCTTGTCTGTTTGACAAGGGGATGGGGAAAAGGCAGGCGTGACATCTTTCCCGCAATGCATGTCTCGCACGTATCAAGCATATCTTCCCTGTCGAATTTTAGGCCAGTGACCTCCTCGATCCAACAATTTTCTTAGTGCGGTAGCGTGAAGGTGACCGAATCTTTCGTGCCAGATTCGTAATCCATTTATTGGAGATTTTTCTTGGGAAATGTGGATTCGATCGTTTCGAGGTAATACGTAGTAGAGATTGCCAATGCGGTCCGCTACTGTGGCTGTTGTTCCCTTTGAGTCGATGACTCGTGCTTTGAACTTATCAAATATTACCTTATAGCCTTTGTCGGTTATTTTGGAGACTGATAAGAGGTTTGTGCGAAGCGATGGTACATGGAGAGTGTTTAGCAGGTCAAATGATTGTTCCTGTGTGCCAGTATCAACGTGAATTTGGGCCGTGCCAACTGCATCGATGGATATGGTTTGATCATTAGCGAGATCCAATTTTGTGTAAGAAGTAGTTCGCAAGTCTGAAAATTTTCTTTGGTCAGAACACATGTGCGATGTGGCCCCGCTGTCGAGACACCAAGCATCACATGACATTCCAGTGTGAAAAGTAGACTCACGTGTGAAAAAGGTTCCGCTGTCGAGTTTGCTGGATCTCGGTTGATTTTCTTGTCTCTTATTTTTACGACAATCTCATTCTCTGTGGCCAGGTTTTTTGCAAAAATTACATCGCAGTTTCGATCCTTAATAATGGACGTTAAGCGCATCATTATTTTGCGATTCGCAAGAAGATCGTCCTTCATATTCCTCAAAGATCTTGACTTTTAGGGTTTCGAGCTTCGGAAGGTCGTCTCTCGTTTCTATCGCAGTGCGAAATGTGTTGAAACTGTTGGGTAAGCTGTATAGCAACAACACTGAGAGAAGCTCCTCCAAATCGGTTAGCTTGTCAGCAGTGTCCAGGAATTTGGCAATGTGATCGTGCAGATCTCCTTCTTCATGTAGTTTCGTGAGAATTAAGGTCCTTATTAAGGAGGCCTTCTTCGCTGGTCCCTGAGACTGGTAAATCGATTTGAGTTTGTCCCAAATTTCTTTTGATGTGCTGCAGTTTCGTATATGTTTTAGCTCGGGCGGACTTAACATTAATATCAGACTTGATCTTGCTTTACGGTCGTTTTTTGTCCAGGCGTCGTGTTCCAACCGAGACTCGGGATTACTGGCAATTATGGTGGAACAAGGTACCGCTCCGTTAGCGTATTCCCACACGCCATCTCTTTCGAGTAAGGCTTCAGCTTACTCGAAAGGAGACTCCAAGTATCGTAATTTTCTCGATTTAATAACTCGACTTTAAATGAATTCATCATTTCGGGCGCGAGGATCGATAGACCAAATAATAAAAGGCAAAAGATACGAACCAAGATGTAGAACAAGTTGAACCAAGATCTGGTTGTTCAGTTCAGTTTCCTTGTAGTGTTGGTGTCTGGGCCTATAACCTGTCGTTAATCCGGAATCAGCGGAGAGACACTCAGACGAAACACATTGTACTGGTTAAGGTATTTTCGTTTATTCAAGTAATTAATGTACAAATGAGTCTTTACATAACAGTAGGACGAACGTCCGTACGTGTCGATAGATAGAAGTCCGAACAAAGGAACAAGTGAAGACAAAGGGTCATAAAACGTTTTATTTGGTTATTGGGAAAGTTCCTCTAGTGGTCAAATTGGTTTGCATCGAGAGTACCGACATAACCTGTGTTAGACGTCGAGTAATATAGTTCTTGCTATATTTGTCGTACTCGTCTAAAGTGTCGTCTGCCCTTAAGTTTCGGACACGTGTGCATTTACGTAAGTAGAAAGTAGATTATGTAATTTAGTAATAATATGATAATAGTAATACAAAAATGATAATCTCTGCACTATA